TCTCGTGTAATATAGTGGCTATAGGTCGGTGGAGACAAAAGATTGTAACTGTGTTCATGTGTTATTAAAAATAAAAAAATAAAGTTCAAAAAAAAAAAAGGTGTGACTTTTAGTCCACTGTGACAAATACGTTTTTTCGCCTTCATAATGCATATTTTGGCTGAAGTGACTTAAACTCCTGTGTCTAAACTTCTGAAGAGTTTAGACACAGTCTAAGTCCTCTGAGGTCGTCTCAGAAAACCTGTGTTTACACTCAGAAAGAAAATTACATACTCCATTTACTAACTAGGTGACTCCTGAAAGAATTTGGCTGCACTTGTTTAGCAGTCTCAGGGTAAAGTGAGCTAATGAATGCAAATCTATAAAATAATCATACGCTCTTTACTTTCATTCACCATTATACAGTATTATGTGTTGGTCTTTCTCATAAAATGCTGAAAAGTTCATGGGGTGTGAATACTTTTGCTAAGCTTTTTATCTGACATCCCTAACAAACAAGTGGGAATCCTTCTCTCTCTGCCGCCATGTTTCTGGGCCAAAGCAGCCTTTTGGAGAAGCTCACACACATCTGTCGAATGATGGGTTTGCCCTCCGCCACAGCCCATCTGAATTCACCCGTCATTACTTCGGCAGTGGGAGCCTGTGGCGAGGAGGGGGGCGCGTTAATGAACCCCGTCCCCGCTGAGCTCACAGGGCTACCCTGTTTTCCCTCGCTCCCGCTTTCGGAAGCTGCCTTTTCATCCTCTGCTCTGGTTTCTCTGCTCTTTTATTCCCTAACTCTTTCCCCTCTCTCAACTCTTTAACTCTGATCTTCCTTCACCTCCCTCAATTATCTGGCTGTCCTGACATGTCCTCCCTCCTAATTACAGCCCTCCCGAATCATGTATTCCCTCTTGTCTCCCTCTTAGAACTGTCCCTTTCCTCCCATAAAAGAATCATGGACACTTTAAAACTGACTTTAGAAAAAAACCCAACAACATCCAGAAGAATGTTAAATCTGCAGGCAAAGGTCCAAGCCTCATTATTACTTTAAATTTTTCTCTGATTACAGCAGAATCTGGGGGAATCTGGAATATTTATGAAAGTCTAAGACAAAGAAGACAAAAAAATCTATGAAGACTGTAAAGATACATCAGACACACTAAACATTACAAACCAGTTTTTATCTGATCATCCCAGACAGTAGGGTAAATAACTAAAATCTTAACTACTTCTTATAACTTTTTAAGACTTGCAAACTAATAATAGATATTACAAAGCCAAATCTTACACCAGCCCTCCTTCATCAATGATTTGGTCTAACCCAGCTAAACCTGCCAGCCTGAAATAACATACACTATAGAGGATGTCTGCTGAGGCCCAGATGTCTGATGCAGCAACATGCAAACACAGGTAGGTGTCGTCCAATCTGTGTCTGTAGCTCCAGTTTTGCAGAAACAGCTTCTAGGTGGCAGTTTTCTACTAAAACCTAACTCTACACACCGTAAAAGTCTGATCATATCGCCATGGCCTTCATAAAACAGTCCAAAAATCCTGATCTGGGGTAGAAGAAGTCCACAAGGCGCAACGTAGGCAGGGTTTCCGTTTTGATCTTCCAGTTGTCTCTGTGCCAGTCATTTTGTTCACATAACCAGGTGATAAATTTGCTGAATATGCAAATAGTTAGCTCTAATCTCTGTGTCTGCCCTCACTGTGTCCCTTTACTCTGGGGTACCTTTGGATATCTAGGGATTTGGTCTCTGCTGTGGCAGCCTTGGGGTCTTTGGGGCGGGTCTGGGGTCCCTCACACCTGCTATTAAGCATATCTAAAAGCTGAAGGAGAATTATTAACCTACATTCATGAGCACAGTCATGTCATACACCACAGCCGCTTGTATCCAGGTGTTCATGGAGACACAGGTATGCTAAATACTAAGCTGCAGCTTCAGCTTTATTTAGATCTGAATAACATCATAATCCTTATGGGTTTTGCTTTTTATGTTAATATACATGTATTTAAAGCATGTGATTAGGATACTCCCTTTTTTGTCTTGGTCGGTTGTGTTTTGCTCTTTTTTTCTTCCGTCTCGGTTCTTGTAGGTGTTGAAGCAGACTTCTAAGAGTTATTCTTTATTTTCATTTTTCCCTTTTTTTATCTTTCTTTCCTTAATTCTCTCTTTTTCTCTTACCTTAATTCTTATACATTCTCCCTTTCTCACCTTCCTCTCTCTCTCTATGTCCATTGCATATGTTTTTTTTTCCCCAAATCAACCTTGAAGGAAGTTTTATATACCAAGTGGAACTTTATGGCCCATGATGGTCCACTTGTGAAAACAAATCTAGTTGTTATCCAGCAGCAAGAAATACATTCTCAGAGTTAAGATGTAAAAAGAAAAAAAAAAAAAAAAAAAATTAAATCTAATTGAGAATCTCCTGGATGTTGCTGCTGCAGCAAAGAAGCTTTCACCTTTTGACTGACTTACCCCAGAATCCATTGCTGCACTTGCAGTGGAACATCTCAGCCTCTTTGACCTGGCACTCGGCTCCGTTCTTGCAGGGGTTCGGCTGGCAGGGGTTGTTACCACATTCACCCACTCCGGCGCCAAAGAGGCTGTCGCCGTTGCTCTCCTGAATGTTGAGCATCCGGTTGTTGACGTCCAGCATGCGGATGCAGCCAACCAGACCTGAGGTGACCCCGGTCCTTTCCCTAACACTGAGGAGCGACAGGAAGTCAGAACCACTGTGTTTCTCTCTAACATGACTCTCAGCTTCGATAGGGAACCTTACTCTTGCTTCAGGTCGTCCGTCACCCCACCAATGAACAGTTGGGTGTCGAGGTTGAGGCCATCAGTACCGGGAGGACTCTCACCCTGGACGTGCGGCTCACCGTCCACGCTGAGCATGCCGCTTCGCCGGCTGCGCGTCACCACCAGCTGATGCCAGCGTCCCGGGGTGATCTGAACCTTGCTGATCACGGTGCCTGTTCCCGATCCAGTGTTAAACCTGAAGGATCAGACAGAGATTCAGTCAGAAAAATCCAACCCAACTCCTGCGTACACTCATATTTGGTACCGACCCAAACCACACAGAGTTCTTCTCAAGCTTATGTTTGCTCTTTATCAAGCTAAAGCTGCAGGAAACCTGCTAAAAGCAATGAAAGAGAAGATACAATAACTTCCAGACTGGGAGAAACCACATGAAATGTTCCGCAAAGGAAATGTTCAAAACCTTTTTCTATACACGACCTTTCATCTAATGAGGTTTTGTTGGGAAAAAAAAAAAGGCTGTATCATCACAGAAAAGAGCTGTCGTCTGCCTGCGCCCACACGTTCAGTAGTATTAGCTCAACCTGAGAGCAATTATCTGCCACAAATAATTAGTTCTTCCCCCCACATCTCAGATTTGCGAAGCTGTGGGTGGTAATCTCACCGCTGTATTTCTGGAACTGAGGCAGAGCTCCCTATGAAAGCTCCCGTGTGTAACCGTCTCCTTTAGTTTTGTCATTTTCAGTGTATAGATCTAGCCGGGTCGGTCCAGGAGAATCTCAGCGAGCTTGAAGGGGTCAGGGATGAAATCTAAAATCCCTGGTTAGCGGATGGAGCAGCAATAAATGGCTTTAAATCGTATCTATAATTAGTCTAATGAGCTGTCTTCTGAAGTTGCTGCCTTTTAAAATGGTATTTATTAACACAGTTCTGCTGGGAGAGAAGACATGAATACACACTATTATGAACAAGATTATAATACTTGGTGTTTCTGTTGGTTTCTGGGAAGAAAATTGGCCAATTTCAAAGGACTGGTGCTCGCCAGTGAAAAGGTGAGAGGAAATAACAGTGAAAGTACTCTTTATGTTTCCCGTCTCATATCGTCTCGCCTCTAATCCAACGCGTTCTATTCTCTTTCAAAGATCTGGGCCTAATATCCAGATTGTCTTTTTAAGTTTATCTGCATTGACAACATTTTTCTAATCATTATATATACATGCAAGTTACAGCAGCTTTCATCAGAAGATATTATCTCCCAAATAAAACATGCATCTGAAACCAGATGTTTGCATCTGCTGGGTTTTTTTTTTTTACCATCTAACATGAAATCAGACATAAATATTTCCAGGTTTAGGTCATTGAGGAAAATTAACATTATTTACAGAGGTGGGTAGTAATAGGTTATTTGACAAACTTTAAGAATAAAATATTACTTTTAGTAGTAGTTGTACTTAAGTCTACCTTTTAGTCTTACTTAGGTCATATAATATTATGAGATTATTGCTTCTCTTAATTCTGATTACCTCCATGAGCAAATGAAGCTTCTCTGACATCATGTAATAAAAAGAAGACATTGAAGCTACAACCTCTTTATCCTTTCTTACTGTAATGATTTGCTAATTTTCAAAAACTGAGGTGGAAAAATGTTTTTGTCTGCTTAAATTTGAGTATGTAATAGTGTTATTTATTTGTATTTTTTACTTTAAAAACTAGAATTTCTGCATATCTCTGTCTGATGACATCATTTTTTTAAGATTGAATGTTATGAGCAAACAACTGCTGCATAATTAGCTATTTTTTTAAGTCATTTTTAAGTAAAATCTTCGTCTTCTACCTTCTACTTTAGTAAAAAAAAAATGGTAAAGTAGTGCTACTCTAAACTGAGTAAATGTTTTGGTTAATTTATCCGCCAGGTTATTTATTTATTTTTATTTGGTAGATTTGCCTTTTAAACTGCCTCCTTCCAGAAGTTTATCTACAATAGTTTTGCTCAGTTTGGTTTAGCATTAATTACTTAATTCTTGTTATTTTTTAATACAATTATGGTCTTTATTAAAACAAGCCTCAGTGAGATCAAAATATCTTTTCCAGGAGGGAACCGTCAAGGACAGAAAAAAAAAAGTTTAAAGTATTTATTTGTATTAAATACCAGATAAAATATATATAAAAAAATACAGTTATGAGTAATGCAGCATGATAGGAGGCATTGCAGCCCAAATCCTTGCTTCCCATCAGCATCCTTACACTGGGTTTGAAGCTGAGGTGTAAACATGGGCAGTTTAGCTCCAGGTCATCTGAACAGCTGGTTCTGGTTCTCTTATCCTAACGTTCAAATTAACCCATAGAGTTTCTTTAAGGTTTGGGTCAGGCATTATTTGCTGGCCAGTTAAACACGACAGAACCAGGTTTGGTGCCTTCAGCAGTGGGAGAAGATGCTTAAAGTCAGAGGAAGTAAGATTAATATGTGACAATCCTCTTAAATCTGCTGGTGCACCTATTTTTATCACACTTTTTTCCTTCCTCTCAACTTTCCATTAATCTCTTATTGGAGAAATTTACCTCTGCATTCAGCCCATCCCCTTAGGGAGCAGTGGGCTGACATTGTGTGGCCCCCGGGGGGCAGTGTGGGGTTAAGGGTCTTGCTCAGAGACCAAGAGCGGCAGTCTGTGAAGATGAACTGGGTAGTTGCAACCTTCTCAGAGCACAAGCGCACTGCTCTAACCCCTTCCTCCCTGTGAGCAGCCGGTTTTACTTCGATGGCTGTTTGTAGTTTTCCCTCCTTGTCCTTCCCATTGACATGATACATATGGAAGCAAATCGTTACCATATTTCAAATGATAAAAGCATTTCCAGCAATGCTTTTTCATTTTAAGAATGTGGCTGCATTGTTTGACTCATAAATGAAATTAGTAATCAGTAATCCTGTTTGCATTATTATTTTCTTCTTCAACACTGCTCATCCTTTTACTTAATTAAAATGAAAAAGAAAAAGACATTTGAGATTTATTTTTAAAAATGTACCCCAGCAAATACACACCAAAATTCAATTTGAAATGTAAAATTTGAAAATGAAAAAACATTTTCAGAAATTCTTTTTCATTTTAAGAATGTGGTTGCATTATTTGACTCATAAATGAAATTAGTATTCAGTAATCCTGTTTACATTATTATTTTCTTCGTTAAGACTGCACATTTTATGCCATAATCAAAGAGAAAAAACAGCGAACATTGCTTTTTCTTATCGTGGTCTGCCTGCAAAGTACTGTCAAAATTAATTTATGAGTCAAGTAATGCAGCCACATTCTTAAAATGAAAAAGCATTTCTGGAAATGCTTTTTCATTTGAGATATGGTAACGATTCGCTTCCATAGATACAGAGTCAGATTAAGGCTACGTTCACAATGCAGCCTGAAGTGACCCAAATCCAAATTTTTTGGCCCATATGCAACCTGGATTTGATCTGTTCATGGCAGTCTGAACAACACTGGCTATGTGGTCTTTTCAAATGTGACCTGTGTCTGAACGGCCGGGTTGCATTCAGCCGACCTGAACGCCATTAAAACCCGACAAAGGTCATTATTCTGGGTCTTGCTATGAAGAAGCTGCAAGAAAAACAACAACCATGTCAGACAGTGATGCGTAGAGCAGTATTTATGTTTATGTCCTCTACGGCGCATGCAGGAAACTTGCGTTGTATGACTGCAGTTCACACAGGAGATCACAAGTCGCATATATTTGGAAATGTGAACGGCAACGCAAAAAAAATCGGATTTCACCCAAAAAATCTGAATTGAGTATCAAGGCCTGCAGTGTGAACGTAGCCTTTGAGACCATTTAGAGAATCAGGAAACATTTATTTAACAAAATATATAAATTTCCTGAGACATTTTTTTTATTTATTTATAAATTTAAATAATAATTTAAAAAAATTCCAGTTTAAAAATACTTCACTCCGTAAAAATTAGAAAAAAATGGCTTTATAAAACATTTCCCAGTATTGTCTGCGATGTTCCTACACATATAAGGCAATTTTCTATTTCCAGATTTTTGTGAAATCTCCAAAAAAGTAAACATTTTTTCTCTGCAGCCGTTCCAGCTTACTTATACTGTCCCTATATTAGATGCAGGTACTGTACAGTCATTAAAACTGATTGTAAACACAATAACGTTCTACTTTGTGTGATTAAAACCCATGTGAACTAATAATCTGTGAGTATATTCTGAACATTAATGCCTTCATCTGTTCAGATTGCTCAGATTAGTATCGAAATATATGAGTTCAACCTACAAATAGCCCAGAAGTCTCCTTATTTTTATTTATTTCCTGGCTCTGCTGTTTCCTACATGTTTACTCGCTGTAATTATTTGCCTCATTATCCTCAGCCCTCTCTGTTTTGCTCTTATTTACGTCGTCTCCCAGCTGCTGCTGCAATGACCCTGTTCCCTCACGGGGATCATTAATGTTTCATCGTGTCTTTGTGATAAGAGATGGATCAGGGAGGAAGAAACCCAGGATCGATAAGCGGAATTAGACGCCACTCACTTGAGCTCCACTCTGCCGTTGACCAGAGCCAGAGAGATGAAGTCCTTCTTCCTCATCTGGCCGTTGTAGAGCAGCAGGCCGTTCATCTCGGACGCTCTGAACTCCATGGCGATCCGGGCCGTGTGGTACGCGCTCATCGTCGGGAAGGCCAAATAGGACTGGCCTCCAAACGACGGGATGAAGTACTTGATCACTGCGGGGAAACAGCGGTAACAAGTCAGTCCTGTCATTACTTTGTGATATGATTTAGCGTTGTCAAACAGGAGCCAAATGAGCATAATTAAGCCTAAGTGGCCATGATAAATCACCACCTCTTTATTAGTTTATTTCAACACATTTCCACATTTTTTTTCATGCATACATACATTTAAATAAACTCCGTTCTTAGCTTCCTTTCCTCTCATGTCCGTCTCATCAGTCTCTGTGACGAGCGCAGCATCTGATGAGCTCCTTGTCTTCTAACGGCTGGATTGATCCGGTGGAGGCTGCTTGTGCAGTTTGGTGGGTGTTTGTGATTTCAGTTAGCCACTTTAACTCAAAGGCACCGAGTAATTCTCATCATCTAATCCCCATCAAAGCAATTAGTGTCAATTATCTGAAGATGCAGCTGTGCGAGGTCGCTGCTTGCTAGCCCGAAATCCCAAAGCAGGGTAAGAGGGAAGGAATAAAAAAAGAGTTTTTCAGTAAGTTTTTTTTTCTGTTGATTTTTGCTTTTTCTCTGTGGTGCTGCCTGGATTTGGTGTTGCCCTTGGCGAGCAGCTCAGTGGCTGCATGTCTGGGATGGGAACCTGTCTGAATCAATGATGAGACTGAAGCACACAATGCAGAGGAACAGCCTGCTTCTGACTCACTTTTTTATTTCAAACTTGATTTAAAACCTCGACGCATGAAATAAAAGCATAAACGAGATGTTGTGTTCTGTGCTCTGAGTGCTGTTAATTCGTTAAGCTTTAAATGGCCCAATAAATCCACATCTGTGGCCACTTAACATTTCATTTCCATAATCCGGCTCTAAATGGAAGTCATCACTCCCACCGCTGCTTTAGGTGTCACCCTGCACTCACCTCATACAACTGAAACTAGAGATTGCACATTGGCAACCAAAGCATCTTCGACCTTCTTAGCTGCTGCAAAATCTCGATGAATTTTTGCCTTTATTTATTTATTTTTTTGCTGTATTGTGGCTTAAAACCAAAAAAAGAAAAAAAAATCCAGAATGGGCAAAGAAAAAACTAGGATGGACGAACCTTTCTCACACACCGCCCCTCCTCGTCCAGCGAGGCACTGGCAGCGGAAGTCGTCGCCGTCGTCCTCGCAGGTGCCACCGTGGAGACACGGGTGGGAGTCGCAGGGCTTTAGGGTCTTGGGTGTAGTCCCCTTTCTTGGTGTGGTGTTAGCGGGCGGCTGAGTGGTGGTGGGGTGATGTGCAGAGGTGGTAGTGGAGGTTCTGATGACCGGCGGGGCTGTGGTGGTGGTACGCCTGCCGCCGGGGAACCTGCGGGTGATTCCTTCTGGGCGGCGTGTGAAGTAGGGGGAAGTAGCAGGAGCTCTGGATGTGGTGATGGGGGCGGCGGTGGTGACTGCAGCTGTGGTGGTGGTGGTGGTGGTAAACAATGGGATGGTGGATAAACCTGCAGAAAAAAAAAAACGTTTAGCTTTAGGTTCTTAATATTTTGAGTTTAAGAAAACCTTCAATAAGCTTCCTTATGAATAAGTTACAGTAATACCCTCTTTCACTTTCTAAATCCTCACACTTTGCTGTTAAGTCCACATCACATTACCATAATTAGTGAAGTGAATATTCTCTGCCGTGGGCTTCTTCACAGAGAGGCTGGTGTCTTTGGAAGCCTTTAACTGTTTCAGCAGCGCTCCCTTGATGTCCTTCACGTTGTATCTCGTATCTGTGATTAAGAAGAGGTACAAGCATTCAGGACAAGGCCTCTGAGGATCCCTGCAAAGCAAAACGCAGGACGCAAGCTCCTTTAATGGTACAATGAATATATCAAACAGCCTTGTGCGTGGCAGGTGGAGGGTCCCTGCGGACCACTTGTCCTCCAACCGCCGCTTGTCCGGCTTTTTTTTCCAGATGAATCGCTTTCATAATACTCGCCGCAGATGTTTGTTTTACAAGCCATGGAGGAGCGCCGTATAACAGCATCCGCTGCCCCAAGTGAAGGGTATGAAGGACGCTAAATGTTGATCATAAAACAAAGGAAAATAAGAAAGAAGGATGGAGGACAGGGACCCGCTCCTGTTGGCTACTGATGGTAGTTTAAAGCCGCAGTTATGGTGCATCTACTACGCTTTCTGAGACATTATATCTTCAGCAGACTTGAGAAATGTATTTTATTTTGATTTTAAATACCAACTTTCCTTTAATTAGGCAAGAATACTCCAGTTATTTGAACAATAGGTTTGTTATAGTGGTAACAGCTATTAAAACAGGTAAAGCAAGGCTTATAATTTAACAAATAAGATCTAAGACCACTAATGCTAATGCGCCTACTATTCTCAGAGGCCCTCTCAAAGGCTCTTTTACATTTTTAAAGAAAAAAATATATTTTTTATTAAACATTTTTCTGAATAATTCTGCTAAAATAAAAGCGCCAGGTAAGAGCTGGGGTTCCAGCCAATAATCTCCACCGCGCCATTCTCATATTTAATCAGCCAGCTGTTTTGAATTACAGTAAAATCAATCAGTCACGTTAATATTTGCTTTCTAAACGTAAGGACAAGTTCTGCCTTCGACAGGGACCAGCAATCAGGGCTGAGTTTGAACGCTGTTCATCATAGAGTTAATAGGATCCACTGTGGATCCAGAAAGCTGCCATGACCGTAGATTAAGGGGGGGTAATATTTGGGTGTATGTTGCTATTCTTAATATTAATATCCTTTGCTGTAAAATATTTTAAAAAGTAAAGAAAACAACTTAAAATTGACTTGTATGGAGTGAATTTTGTTCCATTATTGTTGCTGGCAAAGAACACATTTTGCAAGTTATAGAAAAAATAAAAGCCAATCCACATAATGCATTTCTGGGTTAAAAAACAGATTTTTTTGTCTAATATATAAAAATCTGTAAAAACATTTTTCATAACAAACAACATTTGAAAATTTTATTTGATGAAATGAAATATAAAAAAGAAATTAAAAAATGATAAAATGACAACAAAGTCTAAGAAAACAGCAAATATATCCTCTGAACATTTTGGGATTTTTTTCTGGATTTCAATTTGCAAAATGAAATCCAACGTGTGCTTGCAACAATGATGGACCAAAATTCACTCCATAACTTCGGACCAAAAAAAAAAGGGGCTTTTGATGGGGTGGGCGTAATGCTCATTCAGTCTGAGGAGTAAAAGTTTATTTTTGCAGATTTCAATGGCCATTAATATATTTTAGAGTTAGACATAGATTTATTTTATCATTTTGTGTAAACAAAATGAAATTTCATTAAGAAAAGCTCTCTCTCTTTTTAAAGTGCAGCCTTGAAAACAGTAACAAAACACATAAAAAGAGTGATATGAACATATGACTGTATATTTACAGTTCTAACATTTCAGTTATTTATTTATTTTTAGTTATATTTAGCATGTGACATGTTGTTAAAGAGATCAGCCCGTTAACCTGTAAGGAAACATGTAAAGCCTGCTGGATTATTTAGAATAGCAAGCTTTCATAAACAATTATAAGGTAAATCTACTGTAAACATATCAGCATTCACAGTTTTACATAGAAATATGGTTCAGATTTACTTCCCTACAGGACAGCGGTTTGACTGTAATATGTTTTCCTAATATCAGTTGTTTCTATTTACAGACTCCTTATCATTTCAGGTTAGACTGAACTGTTGCATGAGGATTTAATAGAAAATGTTGTAAAATACAGGATGTATATTTCTAATCTTTTCATTTTCTTTTCCGGCAGTAAGGATTTTCTTTCTGAACATGAACGAACACTTCTCACCTGGCCTGAAATGGACCTCCACGTAGGCCAGGATGGAGTCGTTTTGTGCCAGCTGACGGACTCGAACTCCCATGAATTCTTTGTGCACCTGTGACTTCCTGAACATTTCATTGAGCTGCAAGACAGAAAACGAGACGCAGACAGAGACAAAAGATGATAAATGAAGCCTGTAATGAGATCCACACTTTAATTCCACAAAACTGTACACTATCTTAAAAGGAGGAATGACTGCCTTGCAAATTGGTTTGCAGGAAAGAAAGCCATTGGGTGTGGGAGCAAAAATTGACATTTAGCTGGCTGAGGTGACATTCATTTTAGGAGCCGGTTTCCAGGAACACCAAAGATAAATGCCAAGCTACCTTGAAATTCTGATTGGTTGTGCCTGATTGGTGTGTTTACGTTTTAACAGACAATACCACTAAAAGAGGAAGAAAGGATAATCTAAAGCTAACTTTTGATAGCTTACAATAACTCTTTTAGCCACAAATATTTCATTAATTACACAAATATAAAGCTATCAATACTATGCTGTTAAAATCAGGAATGAGACACAGAAGAGTTTTTCACAATCTGTGGCTCATAGTGATATTTATGAGACTTATTAATAAATGGTTCTAGATTCTAAAATCTGCAAACATCTCGCAGTAGTGTTTCTTTGCTCCTCCATCAGGTTTTTACACGTGGAGCTGTCCACAAAGTTACATACATTCCTTAGAGCAGGGGTGTCAAACTGGTTCCACAAAGGGCCGTGTGGCTGCAGGTTTTCTTTCCAACCAGTAAACAGCATCAGACTCCAGTCATCTCATCAAGAAAGTCCAATCTAAACATGATGACTTTTGTCATCATCATGTTTTGGTTTGACACCTGTGCCTTAGAGGATGGAGAAGAAAATCAGGTGCGTGGATACCACACACAAATGCATAATTAACGCGTAATTTAAACCTCTCATAAACAAGAGTTAGCTAAGATGTACTGGTTTGGAAATGAAGAAGATAAAGGATATGGTGAACTTCCCTTTTACTACGATAAGCTTGCTAACTAGGTATAAACCAGCTTGACTGCAGGCAAACTGCTTGTTTTTTTTTTTTTGATAGTCTGCTAAAAATCTAAACAGATAAAAGCTAAACAATAACTTGTAGAATCATCACCTAAAAAACTATGCAGGACAAATATATATATTTAGATCTTACTCAAAATTTCTGCCGAAATATACTTATTTCAAAACAATAAATAAATAGTATGGATACTTTTATACATAATAATCACTATACACCTATAGGAATATGTTTTAGACCTAAGTTATTAGGTAAGGTAATGAAACCAATTCCTGTTAAATACTTTGATACTGTCAAAAAGGAGATTTAGCATCATAAGCATGCCATATAGACCCGTTCTTGCTTATGTGAATGCATCTACTCATGTCCACATAAAAAAAATAAATACGACCATAAACTCTGAAGATCTTCTTTGCACACGGCTGTTCGGTTTGACCCTGTGCTGCGACTGGCAGTCCAGTCCACCAACACTGAAGATTAGGTCCATTTTTTTTTTTTTTTAGCTTGAGAATTCAGTCTACTGGAGTATTTTCCCTGCAATACTTCTTAACTCCTCAGATTTGTGAAGGTGTGACAGCAAATTAGAAGGCTAAACCCTCCAAAGCTGGATTAGCGATGGAAAGTCACTATGCACAGACTCTCCTCAGCGGGCTGCTCATTCCTGCCCATCTTGCAAATGTTTTTCCTTTATCTTTAAAAAAGCAGATTCTCGTGTTTTTAAATGATGCACCGCAGCTTGACTCTTTTCATGTGAAGAACCCACTTTATGACTTTGTGTGCCTTATTCCCGCGTTAAGTCCATTTGTATAAGTGTAGTAAAGATGTAGAGGATGTAAAGAGGCACACCAGGATTCAAGAGGCTGAGGCCGCTAACAAGCGCACACACAAATCGCTGTGAGGTAACAGATTAGGTTCCAGTGGGCGCTGCTGACACTGATTTAACAGCTGGTACATGTGTACAGTGTACACAGACACGGGCACAGCTTCCCATTTCACCGGAGGAGCAGGGTTACTGGATTGTCAACAGAGACATTTGGCCTGAGATCCGCAGAGAAGACGGACAGTGGAGAAAGTCAGCGGTGGGGGGTGGGGTGGCGAGCTGTGATTATTGTGGATTTTTGCCTCGCGTACGCACAGCGTATGCCATCATATCCATCTAACCTTATGAGGCTTGTATCCAAATTAAGGCTTGGATTTTCAAACTGCAGAGAAAGCCTAATTAATCTGGCATGGAAAACCGCTTTTGGGTGTTGTACATTTGTTTGGCGAGCAACTGCATGATTCTGCGGAGAGAGAAACAATAGATTTCTTCTTCCAGTAGGGGTCTTATTAAACTTGAAGAGCATCTCTCCATGAAATAATTGCCAAATATTTTCTTAATTAACGCAGCGAATACAATAAAGTGATATCTGGAATGAGGTAAATACAAACAAATGAATGCTAAAAATAAACTAAGATGCAAAAAAAAGCCTTATTTATTCTGTTTTCTCTCCTTACTTCGGTCCTAATAAACAGAGCTCAAATGCTGTACGTAATCTCCTCCACAGGTCGACTGATGGAACAGATTTCTCCCCATGTTCCTTTTTATTAAAAGCCAAATATAAGCCAGGACATGTCCTTTGATGTATATTCTTTGACCGAAATCAACAAATGCATTGCTTTCCTTTTTTTTTCATTATTGTTATTTTATATCACACGTATCTGAGCAGAAAAGCCACTCCAGCTCAGCGTGGCAGAATATTACTCAGCAGCTTCAGACGTGTCAGGTCTGTAATATGTGCAGTGATACCTAACTGAAAGAAAGGAGTGAATTTGATTAGCCTGGTGCTCCATGAGGGGTTTTATTGCATTGAGACGCTCTGAATCTTGTTTCAGAGGCTTTGGCCTCTTGACAAGAACATTCTCAAAAGCTTTTGCTAGAAACAAGGTAGATGATATATTTTCTTCATTTTGAATGTTTTGTGCGAGATTCAGCTCATAGTGCATGTTTACTCAACTTAAGTTAGTTTTTTTCCTGTAGCAAAAGAAAAATCTAAAAAATATAACATGAAGCATGATATCTGCAAGTAGTGGAGGTCCTGGCATGAATGATGCACTTTATTTCACCGCCCAATACACAACAATACAGACCCCTTCAAATAAGGTCGGCAAAACAATGAAATATTAAAACATAGTTAATACGTTTTTTGTTTTAGTTTAAAGGTCTGACATAACGAACAGATTGTAAACGGTGTAAGATAATTAAGTCATCAGCTTGATTTGATCCTGTATTATCAATAATCAAAATCAACAAAATAACTTGTTTTACTCTGATATGGTTCAGTCTATATTAGGGGTAACCAATGAGAAATTAGCAGGGGTCCGAATAAAGAAAATCATCCACCAGTAAAGGTCTGTAAATTTTTCAATAAAAAAAGGCAAATAAAAAAAAATAGAGCATTTTTCAATTTCAGAATGTCAGGATTCCTGTCTGTCTGTTTGTGTTTCTGTGTTTGTCTCCCTTCCTCCACCAGGAGGCGCCTGGTTCTGGTCCGCCTCCCCACACACCTGCAGAGGGTTACCTCATTAACGGAGTGTTCTTAAGCTGCTGACTGCCACTACCTCGACGCCAGAGTGTTTGCCAGTTTTGGGTACTCTAGCCAAGCTGAGTTTTGCTGAGTCAAACTGAGTTCTTGTCAACCTGAGCCTAACCTTGTTGTTTTTGTCTTTGCCTCTCGGAAGGAAGTCATCCTGCAAACTGGATGTTTCGGACCTTCTCTCCCTGGAAGGATCATCTGAGCTTCAAACTGAGCTGAGGATTTAAACTGGAGGTTTGAATCCACTTCCCCTCAAGAGATTGTTTGAGCTTCACACTGAGCAAGGGATTCATCTCCACTATGACCTGTTCAAGTATCGCAGGAAATCTGAGTGGCAGTCAGCTTCTCCGTTCACCTACAAACAACCGCATTCTGGGTAAACCCTGTCCACCCTCCACCGAATCAGACAAACACTGGAACTACCGCACACAGACTGGAGTCAAAGAGTCAAAAACTTCTCTGGTGAGTCAGCAGCCAAATTCTCCTCTTCAAGTTCAAGAACCAAATTTCCTACTGAGCCTGAACTAAACACTGTGTCTTCCCCTCACTTTTCAGTTCCGGTTTCATCAACACTTGATTCAGCATTATCTCTTCAATAAACCTCTTAAACCTTTCCCCTGGTCTCTCTGAATTGGTTTCTCTGCATGTGGGTCCGAGCTTTTGATAAAATCATGACACAGAATCTAAAGTGTTTTTTGAAATAGAGAACAACAGTCGTTCGGTTTGGTATATAACCAAACTCGGCCAATCCATGACCTCTGGTCTAAATTAATCCAAAAGCAGTTAGAGTATTTAACATATATTAGATGTGTTTGAGATTGTTTAATAAAAATGACTTAATATATGATATTTAAAACTAATATAATCAGAAGCTCTGAAATAGAAGCTAACCTCTGTGTTGGTATTGAATGGTAAAATACAGCTGAAATATTGCAGGATTAAACTTAAATACGTAAAGGAAAATTGAAAATCTTAATTTCGCTTTGCAAACATACAGTAAAAAGTTTAATAGACATAATTATGTCAGCCTATGTGATGCTGCTTAAAGGCTTTTTTTTTCTAAGATGATGCAAAAGTCTTTGCGGTTAATGAAAAAGCAGCTTTGTTTTTGTTTGTTTTTTTCACTAAAGGAATATAGATTTAATAAATCCCTATAAATCCCCTTTTTTAGGACTTAGCTAAATATTTAAGATTTTGATCTAAAAACGCACTGCAGATTTATTAAATACATAGAAATGGCTGTAAGTTGAGAGCCAATAGAAGGTTTTAAAACAGATGCTAACTTTAATTATTGTAAGGTTAACCCAGTGATTGCAAATGACTCATATCTTGTGTGTCACTGTTACTAATTAAAAGTGCTGAAGCCTTCTGCTATAATTTGATAACCAGCTTTATTACTCCCCCATGCTATGATGCCCTGGGTGGAGAGCCGTTTCATTTTCATTTAGCATCAAAAAGACAAAAATCGAGAAAAAAGAAGCTGAAATGATGAAAAAATGTTTTGGATTGCTTGAAACACACATATGTTTTTCACTAATTCAGTTTTATCCACATTAGGAGGGTTTAAGGACTAAAAGCAAACAGAACATTTAAATAGGGAGCGTTCAGGGAAACTGCTTATGCCAGCAGAGGAGTTTAACCAAAACAAATGATTAAAAAGAGTAAAAAAAGAGAGAGTACACCCCCCCCCCCAAAAGAAGTCAGACATGCTAACTGGACTGAATTCCCAGCAACAAACTGCTGCTGTAGCACTTACAGCGCTCTCTATGCTGCGGGCCGTCTCTCCAAACAGCTCAGACTTTGGATCCTGCATCTCAGGGGTGTAGACCAGGTTATCCACCTGCTCCAGGTGCAGTAAACCCGAGAACCTCATGGTAGCTGTAAGAAAGAAAGATAACGTGACGTCAGAGCCATAGCAGAAGCCTTTTTTTACCGTCATCATTTCCCCACCGCCTTCACATGGCACCGCTTGTTTCTGGAATAGTGCCGGTTTCAGGTTGAGTGATGGATTGTGAGTTTGTGTGTGTTTGACAGGGCGGGTAGGGTTAGTGAGTGTGCTGCTGATCGCCCAGGGTTGGGAGGGGGTGGCGGTGGACTGGAGTTTGACCGTTAAAGGTTAAGGTAGTGGTGGAGGCAGTTGTGAGGAGGTGGGGGCGAAGATGAAGTGTGAAAATATGAGAGAGGGGAGAATATGGGCCAGTTTTACCAGATCCAGAATCATCCCAAAAGCTGGCTGTGGCATAAAGGGCTGGGTAGAAAGACAGCAGGTTAGACGTACAGATTCATAAAAAAACCAGTGAACACACACACACACACAGGTAGAGAGACATGCTGAGGAGAAAATAGCCTGAAGGCAATCTGAATAGCACCTTCTTCCATAAAGAGAGAGCCTCAACCTTGGAGTGCTGTGTTGTCTAACATATATCAACTTTTTATATGCCTTCTTCATACTAGTGCCGGCGAGAAGGGGGCTTGAAATAAAGCCGAGAGCCGAGGATGTTTGTGTGTGTGTTGGGTGAAGAGTAGCACAAGAGGTGCCAGTGCCGTGGTTCCATGCCGCTTGTAATCAGCAGAACAAATTGCCCAAATCAATCATCGCTGCCCCTGCCTGAGCAACGGCGGCGAGAACGGGGAAGAGCACTTGTATGATTATCATGAGAGATAGTCGTAATTGTCTCCTTAATGCCGCCAGACCGACGGCTGACACTGTCTGGTTAAAACTGCACGAAAAAGGACACACAACCGGTCGCCGCTGCCGCTGACCCCCCCGTTGTGCATCCCAGCCTCTCTTGCAATGCTTTCACAGGCAGCCCACATCGATTCAGACGTGACGGCAGCCATAAAACAGAAGCAAATGGCTGCGCTTCGGCTGCCAGGAAGACGGTAAAGAAAGCGAGGGGGACGGAGAGTCATATCGGACGTTTAATCCAGAGAGAAGACAAACGGAGAGGGTGATTTTCCAGCCTGCTTCTATAAAGGATGTAGAAGGGGGAGAGAGATAAAAAAGAGAGAGGGATAAAAGGCGGACGGAGCTATTCAGCTATCAGATTGTAGTGAACTGTAAAATGTAATGGATTTGCCAGAACTCCCGGGCATATGGAAGAGTTTTACCGTTCTGCAGTAGAGCTGAGGGTCAAATAACAGAACATAAATGAACATTGTCTATTATGTGCATATAAAACAGCTTGTTAAAAAGCCAAACACATGGAGAGCCGCACTGGTTATTAAAAATACCGTATCCGACCAAATAAATCCAAACTACAGAGTCTTATAAATGGATTCACACCCCTAGAAGTTTCCCATAAATGATACAACCCCACATTTCTATGTAGGTTATTGGGATTTTATGCGATGGGTCGACTCAGAGCAGTGCCTAATTGTAAAGTGGAAGGAAAGCAATACAACCTTTTTTACATAAGAAAGATTTCATCTGGTTTAAAGATCTGGTTAAATATCTGAAGGTTGGAGGGAGTATGGAAACACTGCGGATCATGGCCTTCCACCTTAAGCCTACAGATTGGGAGGGTAGATTTGTCCAGGGGATCACTGTTAGTTAAAGAGTCCCCATAGCTGGGCTTTATTGGTGAAAATCGTTGAAAAAAGGCCAGAAGGTGAAGTTAGCATGAGCCAGAGCAGAGGAGGAGGACCTACAGTCAGATGAGACCTGTAGAAGAAAACTGTGTGGAGGAACAATAACTAAACCCACTATACTAATGGTAAGGCATGGTGGTGGCAGTATAAAAAACTGAGGATGCTGCGAGTGAAGATTCTCAGTCATATAGGTCATAGTCATTCCAAAAAAAAAAAAAGATAAAAACAATCCACTGGACTTTGTTTATGAGTTTAAAGACGTTTCGCTTCCCATCCAGGAAGCTTTTTTGATTCCAAATGTCAGGAATAGTGTTGAGTTCAAGGTTTTTATACAGTAGCCCAACAAAGCCTTGTTTTTGTTTTGAAAACACGCAAATTGAAACGGACGGTGGGGATGCTTTACTTCAGCCGAGACACAGTAGATGGGATAATGGATGGAGTTAGTTATAAGACAACACCAGAAGACAACATGTTAGTTGCCTTCAGAGCATGTGAACAGAGCGCCGCTCGTACGGTCCGCCCCTCACAGTTTCGCCAGGACGCTCTGCTCAAAAACTGCTCCACGTTCGCCTTAATTTTCCTGCCGCTCCGGCGAAATCGCTCCACGCTTGCTCAAATTTTTCAGAATAAGGCATTTTCTGATATTTTCCTTCATGTAATTATGCCAGGACCCTGGGACACACGGTGTTTGATTTAATGATGTGATCGATACACGTGTATTGTCTCATTATTTAATTTAATAAATAATAAGCAGGCTGTTAAATTATCGCACGATTTTCCAGCTGTGAACGTAACACCTCAATCCATTCTTGTTGCCCAGTGTTTCCTATGTAATTTTCCTTTTATTTTACTAGACTAGTGAAATCCTCGCTTCAGCCTTTGAATTGAAAATCATTTTTCGCTCCTCCATATTTCTTCCTCACCGCTCACATGCTCTGGATGCCATAAAAGACTTAAAACTAAGGGAAAAGTTGACTTCCTGCATAATAATGAACACTGAAGGTACAATAACAGACCTTAGACCAAAGCATAATTGCTTTTTTTCTTAATTTCCCTGAGAATCCATGGAAAAACTTTCAAACTCATGTTCATAGAGGGCTAATATCCAATCTGACTGATCTTGACGTATTCTAAGCAATGGAAAGAGAAGTAATGTCAGTCTGTAAAATGAATTTATGCCTTAAAAAGCTTTTTTTTCCCCCCTTTACTTCGCCACTATTCGATACTTTGTTCACCTAAAGCCTCAGAAATCATATAATGTATTATAATATCACAAAATGTGAAAAAGAAAAGATTTAAAATCTGCCAGTCTGAAGGCTTTTATTCTCTAAGGTCGAGGAACGCCCAATCTGAGACTCACAGAGATCACGACCGTCAGACCTCAGCGTTTGATGTCTCAATAAAATGTCGAATGATAAATAATTAGTTCCTTTTCTGCCGCTATCGGAAAGATGCTATCCAACTTGATTGTTAGAGATGGCAGCTGAGGCGTTGAGGGATGTGTCATTTCGCCACTAATGAGCGTCGGATCACCAGAGGCTGTCTTATAGGGGGAGAAAAAAAAACTCCAGGCGCATTGATCGATCAATCGCTGAGCCCGAATTTATTGGGAACGCTTGAGCTGAATGAAGTATTGATCGCTGCTGCGCTGTCTTTGTTTGCAGAGATAAATATTTACAAGCTTTGGGTGATTTGTTATAACTCTCATCCTTCAGGTAAAAACTGCTTTTACTCAAGGCCAAAGTTCAACAAATTCCCCTCATGGTTTGGCGTCTGTTTGGCTATAAATCCTGCGGACAAAACAAACAAGGAAGGTCATGTCTTGAGGTAATGTTGGGGCCGTAAAGCTCTGCTGGTTTACTGGAAGGCTCTGCTACCTTCCAACATGGCAGAAATGCAAGTCCCAGCGCTAATTTGTGGCCACGGCTCTTTCAAGTCATGACCTAGAGCTCCTCTGGGAGCAAGACAGAATCCCCCTTTTCACAATCCGTCAAATAAGCCAGCGCTGGGGACGGACTGAGACGAAGAGCTGGAGGGAGTGAAAGGTTGGAGAAGCAAAGAGGGAGAAAGAAGCCCTTTATCTCTATGAACTGGCTCTGGCAGAAAGCACTGATTGCTACAACGGCACTGCTCGGCCTCTGGTAGTCTCTCTGCACTCCACTCCAAAGAGCAAAGAGCTGATGCAAGACTGGATTGAGATTGACTGGGCTAGGGCTGAGAAGAGAGCCAGAAGTGGCTCAGGGGGGGTTTGACGAGCTGTGGCACAGATAGATGAAGGTAAAGTATCTGTTTGCATCACAGGACAAATATGGGAAAGGAAAACAGAGGAGGCAAGCTACAGGAAAAGCACGGGGGGCAAAAAAACAAGGACATGAGAAAGATAAAGCCCCAACAAATACTTCATTTTTCTAGTATTGCATCATAGGTGCAACATGTTGTCATCATTTAAATCTTTGGATGATTTTAGCTTCTTGGTGGATTTTACAGCAAACAACTGACAAAGATACAGAAATGATCCAATAACTACTAATATTCGGACGAGTTGACTTAGCAGGATGTAGAAAAACAACAAACGATTTGTTAGCGATAAGCTAAAGCGTGATTCCTGCTGGGTATCCGACCACATTGGTTTTTTAAAGAACTTTAACAAACAAACACGCACGTTTAAGATCCCTCTGTTTTCATTTTGTGAAATGCACAACAAAAACAACCTCGTATAAACTCCCAGAGATCTTATAGGTTGCCAGAAAGCTTAAAAAAAACAAAAGTTATAAGAATCTCTATTTATTAACTTGTACATTTAGGATAAATTTAGCTAAAATAGCTCATTTTGCAACGAGCTCAAGTTTTATGTTTGGTTGTTTCTTTACTCCTTGCAGTTAACAAAAGAACATCCAAATACTACTTTGCAAGCCTCCCTTGCCATTTATATCCTATAAGATATGAAAATCAGAACTGAAAGCTATTCATCAAAACAGCATTCCTACTCATGATGGTCAGACGTAAACGTTTGAATTGTGGTGTAACAAACCAAACCTCATTAAAACCAACAAGATTATCAGCAAGCTGTTAATTAAATTTACATATATGAGCATATATATGTATATAAATCAAAAAAGGTGCAGAGCCAAAGCAGAGCACCTGTTCTTGCTGTTCGAAGCAGATGGTGAGATGAGAAAAATCCTCCATCCTTTAGCTCAGCTTTAAACGAAAAACTGTTTGTGTGCCTGATAATAAAATAAGGACGTAAACTAAAAGGGGATCTGACTTAAATATTGACAGATTGTCTCCCCCTTCTGGCGGTGGCAGTAATCACCCAAACTCTCAACACGAAGCCAACTGATTCTACAACAGGTTCACACCTGAAGTGGTTTATTTTATTTTATAGATCTCTTCTCTTCTGTTTTATTTGCAGCATCATAAACTTTCTACACGAAGGTCAGCCCAGTGTTTGCAAGGGGCTGAACTCATCAGCTTTGGCTAAATAAACATCTCCGGATGACATAATTCTCTGTAGCACTCGTGTTTATTGTACCTGATAGTGGCAACAATCTCCTTCAAAGGTGAATAAATTGAAGATTCGAGTGTCAGGAAACTGGGGGTGTCACAACAGACCTGAACTACGGTTGGTATGTTCAAATTAGAAATAATTCATTGTTAAAAGTAGTGATGGGTGCAGAAACATCGATTTGTTGGTGCATGTGTGGAGCCCATAGAGCAAAACGCAGTATCGGTGCGTGTATCGTTTCAAGAGTCATGTGACCGATCCAGGAGTTGTTTCCAACTGACTGAGACACTACACTGTGTTTAAATACGTATCTGTCAACATGATGCACCTGCTAAAAAAATGTCTCATCTTTTTATCATTAAAATGATCAAGAATTTTGGGGCAGCCTAAAAGGAATAGGAACGTTTCAGCCGCTGTGTTTTTATTTTAATTTTCTCATTGTGTCATCCTGTATCTCTCAGTTATCACTCAAATTATCTGAATTAAAGTTAATTTAAAATTGACTCGTAGTTTATTTACTGTACTGTTTTTACTGTACTTATTGTTCTAAAATTATGATTTAAAAACCTAGTTCACAAGCATCCTCATTCACATTTTCCCTTAAATCAGGCTCTTCAATGTTTTCCAAGTCCAAGGACCCAGTTGTTTTAATTAACAAAGAGAGAAATAGAAAGGAGGGTGAGCCCTGAAGGTTAATTGCATGAAAAGCAAACTACCATATGTAAACATAGCACTGGAAAGTTGAGGAAAAAATGCGTCTGAAAGGACGCAAGAAACAGGGATCGCAAAGAAGAGACACTTCTAAAGTGTTTGGAAGAGGCTTATAAGGTGTAGAAGTATCTACCTAATCAAAGGCAAAATAAGGCTGCATTTTTTCCCACAGATGCAAAGATCACTTTACATTTCAGAATGAATGTTGCATTTAATCTAAAACAACCGGTGGTCTGGAAGAAGACTAGAGAGGAAGAAACCCAAGATGCTTAAAGTCCAGAAAGAAGGGTTAGTGGAGCCATGTCAGCTGTTTCTGCTGTTTTCTGAAGTCCAAAGAAGTTGCAGAAATCTACCAGAGAAAGCTTGATGGAGAAGCTAATATCTTCCAGCAGGGTTTGGATCCAGACCACAATAAACAAAAGTCTCAATATTTGCTCCATTGACCATTAAAGCTTGTATTGGGAATTCTACTAAAACTAAACCTCACAGAATATTTGGCCAATGGTGAAGAAACCAGAAGCAACAATGGCAAATTAGCTGCTATATCATCTGTGCCAGGCTGCACTCACGCAATTATATATGCAACCAATTCTTATGTCTACTGTGAACAAAAAAAAACAATGTTATAATACTTTTTTTATTTGTTTGTTGTTTGGAGGAGCAGAAGTTGGGGTTTTCAATAGTTTAAGGCTACAGTATTTATTGAGATTAACAGAACTATGTAATGTAAATTCCTTTATTCTACTACAATGGGGGAAATGCGTTCTCTGCATTTTAACCCATCCTCTTGAGGAGCAGTGGACTGTCATTGTGTGGCCCCCGGGGAGCAGTGTGGGGTTAAGGGTTTTGCTCAGGATCCCAGAGAGGAGCCTTTGGGGATTGAAGCGGAAACTTGCAACCTTTTAAGAGCACAAGCGCACTGCTCTAGATACTAGGGCAACACTCCCCACTAAAAAATATATTTTCCTCTCTGTATAAATGGATCTATGTTATAAGAGCTATATTTGTTTTATACATGTCGATAGTTTAATTTAATCAGATGCACCTGAAAAACATGTTTTACCAATTAAAGCATGGAATAATAGAGCAGGCAGGAGGAAGAGGAAGGCAGGAGGTAAAGGGGTCTTCCTGCGTGTTGACTTACGGGGGCAGTTGGTGCCCTCTGGGGTGCTGGACGGGGTCTTGCCGTCGGGACAGCAGCCGAACTCTGTGGTGTCACAGGAGGACTTATCCTCAGAATTGGGACCAGCAGAACCTGCCGCTGTCGGACCTGCAGGCGACACAAAGTTCCAATGAAAAATTCATTAAACTTTAAGTCCATGAATATACATCATCCCTTCTTCTTTCTCTCCTAGATTTTTTTTTTCTTTTTTCCAGAAACTTGAAACTTCTTCTTTCCCAAGTTTACTCGTGCTTCACCAGGTGTTTATGTGTTTCCGCTGACCAGTGATTGAGTGCTGGAAGAGGCATCTGTCATGGGTGATTATATGGGCTCTGATTTTACAGCTGGAACTCATTTCGTCAGGCAGAAAACCCTTAATGGGCACTGTTGCCAGTCACATCACACACAGAACACTTTAAATGATAGGGGTGTGTGATAACCGGCTGGCAGTTCTCCTCAAGGAGAAAAAACAGAAGAATAAGAAAAAAAATAAAACTACAACCCTACCGACACTGAATATCTGGTCATTTTGAAACATTAGGACATAAAAGCGTCTACTGTGTCACCGCAGAAAGACGTCCCCTCGCACATTGGAGTCGGTCGTTTATGGCCGTGTGGAGATTAGAAACAATCGTGGAGGGAAAGAGCTCCTGGCTAAACAAGCCATCAAGACGTCAGAGGGCGGGGACGTCCTAATTCAAGGTCTCACTCCGAAGGGACATGAGGGGAAGGGGGGAGGCAGATTTACAGAACCCTGAAGAGGTGAGAAATGGGGCAGAGCAGGAGAGCTAGGGCCGTCTGTGTCAGCGTTACAGCCGTCACATAGCTGCACGTCAGACGGACGGGTGGAGATTACAGAGGAGCAGAAACACAGAGAGGGACACATGAAAGAGACGACATTATTCAATCTGTGAGTCATCAAGTTCATATTTGGGGTGCTTGTCATTCATGTGCTCTCAAAGTCTGAAAAGGGCCTATTTACACATTTGTTCACACTGACACGGTATTCATACCGCATTCGTGCTGCTTGAACCTTTTTTTTTTACCTTTCACCTCAATCCAAAGTATTTCACTGGGATTCTGTACGGTAGACCAACATTAATATGAAGTGAAAGGAAGCAGATTTATTTTTTTTCTTTTTAACAAAAAGAATCAGAAGAGTATTGGAGGAATTTGGACTTAGCCTCCTTTTCTCTAACAGCCCTAAAATACCGTTTAACCACTCGCCTTCAGGTTTATTATATACAAAACTTTGCTAAAAACAAGCATCATAAGGAAACAAGACAGGAGGTCAGGTTTGAAGCTGCACCGGAGAACCAGGACAGCCTCTGTAAGAAATGGAAATGTCATGAAAGCTGTAAAAAATGAAATTCTGAAGACGATAAAAGTTGTCTAAGTTTCTGTCTCTATGCTAAGAAGGAAGGAGAGGCTGAAAGAAAACGAAAAGATGTCTGGAAGTGGGCTTCAAGGTCTACTGCAAACCAATCTATGTTTCAACATGGGGCTGTAAATATGTTGGAGGCTGCCACTGACTGTTTACCGCCTATCTACCGCCTATTTACCGTTTACAGTCGGAGCTGAAATGCTTAATTTGAATGTCTTTAAATGGCCTAGTCAAAGCTCAAAAATAAAATTGACAAATCTGGGACAAAACTTTATAATTTAGATCTAATCAAGGATTCTGATCAAATCTAAACCCAGTTTTTGTCAAAATGATGATTCCAAAAAGTCCCATCCAGTTTTAAATGTTAATAAAATCTATCTAGAATGTAATTTCTATCTAGTTTGAGTTTTAAACTTTGACATAAAAGTTATAATAATAATGAGAAAAATAAACCCAGTTCTCTTACATAAAGAAATAATCTCATTACTAAAAAAAAAGAGCTTTGGTTTTAACCTGGAAATAAAAATAAAAGAAACAAATCAGGATAAATGGGGAAAAGGAAAAATCCCAGCCTTCATTTAGTTAAGATTACTAAAGATTTTCTGATTACCTTTACACAACAATAATAAAAATGTGAAGTTATAAGGAGCCATTCTTAAAAAAAAAGAAAATTAAAAACAATTCACTGGACTTTGTTTCCTTGCTTTGGGTTTGAAAACATGCAAATATAAGGAGCTGAGCCTAAAGCAGAGCTCAGAGAAACAGGAGGAAATTTCAGCCTTTAGATGCACAAAACTGGCAGCGACATGAACTAAAAGACTCAACCAATCACAACCAGACTAAATGAATTTAGTTTCTATTCTGAATTTGGAAAAACCATTCATTATTTTCCTTCCACTTCACATTTATGTATTTCATGATGTAAAATCCTAATAAAAAAGGGGGTTTGATGACTTTTGTAAAGTACGTCAAATATACACAGATTTTAAAGCTGGGAAAAACAAACAAGCATGGAGGAGGAAGAGGAAGAGAAGGAGGAGGAGGAGGAGGAAGACACTGGGGCGTGCTGTTCCATCAGTCTTGTGCCGTCACTGCGAGCTGTCAAGCGATGTTGATGGATGGATGGGACGCAACATCAGAAAAATAATAAAAAAGGTCTAATTGGAAAGCCTGAGCTATCATCCTGAAGGAGGCTGGAAAAGCAGCCGCTGGCTGATACAGGCAGGAGGGCGTGTCGGAAAAGATTCGAGACCAGTCATGTGACAAGGTGCGCCGGCTCTACTCGAGCTCGCAGCGAGACCTCAGAGTCGCATCGGCCTGTCAGGTCAGGCTCCACAGATCCACAGATTCGGCCCGACGGTTTCATCTATCTGTCGTGCCGGGAGTGTATTTTACAGAGCCTGGGTTTGTTTTGGGAGCTGCAGTGCTGCTGGAAAGGGAGGGAGGAAAAATAAAAAGAGGCAGGGGTGACGAAGCAACAGTGAACCATGCAAATACATTCTTTTCTGTCTGAAATGGAGATATACGTCTTTTGCAAGTGGGAAAAACATGCTAACAGCAACTCCTGGCAAAGATTTCCTCTCCTTGCCTCTCTGACATCTCTTCTCCTGAGAAACTATTTGCATAAAATTACAAAAGCCTGCAGCCTATTTTTAGTTTCTAATTAACAGATGATGATATGAATGCGTTATGATGTCAGCTAATGATTGATTCTGAATCTGCCCAAACCCCTCAGAGATAAAAAAACAAACAAAAACCACCCACACTTCCCTCAGAGGATTATGGAGAATGAAGTGAAAGAGCAGTGATTTACCGCCAGTCTCGTCTGCCCCGCTGGCTTCTGATTGGATGCCGCTACCAATATCGTCATCCCGCAAATCCTCTTCGTCTTCGTCGCCGCTCGGTTCGCCGCTGCCTGAGCCCTCGAGAGGGGTCAGTGCGGAGGTGGAGGGGGCAGGACTGCTGAGAGTGGCGGTGATGGCGGCGGTGAGGATGGGCTGACGGTGGTTGGATCGTGCACGGCTGATGGTGGAGGTGGAAAGGACGGCGTTGGTCACGGGCTGCTCGGTGGGCCCCGGCTGGGCCGTCATTGGAGGCGGGATGGCAAACACCATGTCAGGGTTGAAGGGGGCGGGGGTGGTGGTGGCTGCCGCGGTGGTGGTGGAGGGAGGGTTGGGGGTGGGTCGGTCTGCCGGTTCAGAGATGGTTTCTGGTGAAGGGAAGGGGAGGAAGCAAGGAATGGATGAATGACTGAGCAAAGATGGAAATGTTTGATCAATAAAACCTCAGAGATGATGAATATGAAGGTCCTACTGGTTCTAATCAATCCCAGCCAGATAAAACAGAAACCTGCCCCCATTTGATACAGTAGCAACCATTCAAAATGGCCGAATGGCAGCCCACTTCCAGCCACTGCGGTGACCCCATCTTGCATATTTTTTTTACTCTGACTCCACCTTTTTCCCTAAATCACAGGGTCTGACCAGGAGATGACGCTTCTCTTTAGATCTTAATGTCCAAAAAAGCATGAGAGAAAGAATATTTCAGTACAAAATGTGTTTAAAAAAGGAATCTTATTGGACCAGCAAAGGGCCCATCACGGAAAGTGGGGAAATTTTGAATGTCTGCATCTTATAAATCAGCTCAATAAATAATATTCCCTGTCATTGCCTTGAAAATATCCGCATCATCTCTGATAAAGTTGCAATGTCTCTCCTGTAAGGAGGGGGGTTCATAATAAAGAACTTATAATTTGGGTCATAATAAGACTTAGGTCTGTTTCCAAGTTTGAAGACGTTTCCCGATTCTAAAAGAAGTTAGGCTCCCTCCTACATTAGAGACTTGTGTCCTTATGCCCTCTCTTGGAGGCTGAGGTCTCAGGACCAGATCCAGCTCATGGTCCCTCGCAATCGTTACAGAACCAGGGAAGATCGCTCTTTTCAGGCGTTCGCTCCGGCGCTCTGGAACGTTCTTCCTCTTTCCTTGCGCTTACTCGATTCTATTGATGTTTCTGAGAGTGAACTGAAACCTTATTTTTTAAGAAAGCATTTTTATTCAAGCATTTATAACCATGTCTTCTGTGACTAAATGTATTTTATTTCTAATAAAATTTTGTGAAGCACTTTCTGACCTCTATGTCTGTGAAAGGTGCTATATAAATAAACATTATTTACTTACTTTCCATCCAGGAAGCTTTTTCAATTCAAAACGTCAGGAATAGCGCTGAGTTTTTGGTTTTATACAGGTTTTAACTGTATAAAACCATTTTGAATTGAAAAACCTTCCGGGATGGGAAGCAAAACATCTTCAAACTTGGAAATAAAGTCGAAAGGATTGCTTTTTTAACTTTTTTTTGGAATGACTACGACCTGGATGACTGAGATTCTTCACTGCCATAATGTGACAAACTGTTAAAAAAAGATCCAGGGCTTTTTTTTCCAGGGCAACATTTCAGAGACACAAGCTGCACAGCGTGTTCCCCTGACCAATCACTTTGATTTCTCCTGCTCTCCAATCTGAAAACCCTGTAACTTATTTGTAGGTAGGCATAAAACCTGGCGTTGGCGTGCACGTACGCAGGATCGTACGCCGTGTGCAAGCCGTACCCAGGCCTATGAATTATATATCCAAATTCAAATGCTACCCTGCAGTAGCAAAGCTTTAATCACCAACAGCCAGCGCCTCCGGTGATGAATGATTGATAGAAATGGGGCAAAAAAAGCCGGCTTTGCTCCGGCTTCAAAGATGGCAGGCTGCTGCTGCTCACAGAGAGCTGGAGCAGCCTTCAACTGCGCCCCGAACGCGCTGCTGTCAACAGATGCACACAAACGCGCATGCAATGTTTGAAATAAAAAATAAAAAATAAGAAAATCACTCCAGATGAGGATGAAGAGAAGAACCTCTGTGTAAAGAGACCATCATTACAGATGCAAGAAAAAGAAAAAAACTCTAGAGCTAAAGGACAAACTGTCTGCGATGAAAGAAGGATAAATGGGACAAAAACTCCAGAGGGCGACGAGCCGAGCGAGCAGCAGAGAGATGCTGAGGAAAGGAGTGACAACATTGTTCTTTTTCGCCTTCTTCTACTTTACATCCCGGGAGGATGGATGTCTCTTAGCGAGACCATGGAATAAAAACCAACAGAGTAGATTTCCACCTCATTAGGATTCGCCTAACACTACGGTATGTGTAAGACTTAATTACACCGCTATAATCACAGAGTTGATCGGCAATTATTTACTGAGGTGTGAAATGTGATACCTACAGAGACAGCAGAATGCCTGGGAGACGGGGCTTTTAAAAGCTTGGCAGATAACTGCTTGTGGGGAAGATTGGGAGCGGAGTTCAAAGAGCGCGGATGCTATCACCAAGAAAGATGGCATGGGCTGCCTTTCCTCTCGGCTACACCTGTCAGTCAGGTACCAAGCCTAGCGTCCAGAGGCTCGCTCTGCTGGAAAACGTTTGAGGGATGCATGCGGATATCGGCTGCAAACTTCATGATATGGGATAAGGACAGATAAGCGCATGCTTGAAGCAGCCCAGAAGTCTAAATCAACAGATACCTTTGTTATCAGATTTACCAGTCCATTCGGCCTTTTTCTGCTCTTAGAAGAATGGACGGGTATGTTAGAGGGTAGTGAGAGAAGGAAACAGTCCTTGTCTTCTTGGGTTGCTTTCTCCCATATGGTTATTTCTGTTAGGCGGTTATTAGAGCCAGGATACAGATGACAAGGAAACCAACAAAGGCAGGAATAAAAAGTGATTGGGATGGACATTTAATCAAAGAGAAAAGGGTTAAAAAGCAGCGGGAGGTGATGAAAATGGAAAAAATAAACCCAATATGGCCCCAAACAATGAGAGAAAACCTCCAATATAAGAAAGGAGGGAGGAACTAGCAGAGGCATGACTAACGCGCAACATGAGGGCTGTAGGCAACATATGTCCGCCATTCCTGCCAACTCTCCACAAACCTACAGGTGATAACACCATATGGGAGAGGCGGGTCGGCGCCAACCCGCTGACTGACCATCGTCTTCCAGGAGTGATTTGCTCATCAGTGCAAATGCTTTCCCTCTGGTGGCGGCCACATTGGCAACTACGTTTTTTTAAGCTAAAGCTACCAGATTTTTACTCTTTTTCCTTTAAAACCTTTATTATTTTCCAGGGGTCATAAAGTGGAAAAAAAAATTATATTAGAAAATCCCAAGTAGGTGAATTCTATCCATGAATCATATGATTCATATATAGGGGTATCCAATGGAAGGGGGGCAAATACAAATGCCTGCCACATTTTTCAGATTTTTATTTGTAAGAAAGAGTTTTAATACATTCGACCTCATAAATTCACCCAAAGATTTAAGACCTACTGGTAGGCTAATGATCAGGCACTGTAGGCTTAACAGAGCATTGTTTAAGGGAACAAAAATAGATACAAAGGGTTATGTGTTTTATCTTAGCATTTCTCAACTTCATTTTGTGAGAAAAGCCGTTTCTTTCCTAGGCTGGACTCAGTGGAGGAAGTGGCAGAGAGGAGGAAGCTGTCCAAGCTTACATCCATCATGGATAACACCTTCCACCCTCTGCACCAGGCTATACAGGAGCTAAGCAGCTGATTTAGTGAAAGACTTTTACACCCTGTTTATAAAAAGAAGCTCTACTGCAGGTCATTCATCCCTGCTGCAACCCAACTCTACAAAGACGCTACACTACAGCAATAACTTGAGCAATGTATAATGTGCAATTATTATTTAATACCCTGTGCAATATCCTGTTTCTTTATATTTGACACCCAGTGCAATATATATATACATAAATATCCATCTATATAAATACTCATGTAAATAACCTGTGCAAAAATCACAATTATTTATATATATATATATATTCTTCCCTGTGCACCTTTTTCTTCTTTTTGACTATTTGAGCAGATGTAATAAGTTAATTTCTGTACTGTGAGATCAATAGTCAATCAATCATTGATTTTTATTTATTTAATTTATTTATCTGTGATTCTTGATTAATGTGTTTGTGATTTAATTTGTAAAAAATGAGGAGACGGTTACTGCCTCTCTTAATGTGGCTGAGGTCTTTGTTCAATTGTTGATGGAAAAATAAGATCATGGTTTGATGGAAATATTTGTATTTGATTGTTTACATCATGAAAATAAAGTGTGGGATGTTATACATCTATGTTGCATGAAGGGTATCTGCCAATTTTGGAAATTTACAAAACAAAACAAAAATTGAGAAAAAAAATGCAATCACGAAATTGGAACTTTTTCTCTTTTTTTGTATGTTTTATCTTTTTCGAATGTATTTTCTTGTTTCATATAATATATATTTTTTATTAATTTCTTTCAGATTGAGTTTTACAGATTTGATTTTCTTCAAGTTGAATTTTACAGATCACTTCTGAAGGCAGTTTTCCCCTGGAGAGAGAAGCAAAGACGCATTCCTATTGGTCTGCATGGACGCTTTATCGAACAAGCGAGTCTTTGTATTGGGGTTGAAGTGAAGAGAATGTGAGAAACGCAGTTTGTAATCATAATTTGTAAAACTTAATCTAACAAAGATACATTTGAAAAAAGGAAATATTTAAAAACAAAATCATATTCTGAACAATTTAAATCTGAGAAGTCACAAATTTACAACAATAGTGGAACAAAATTTACTCCATAGCTGAAGTACGCCTAACTCTTTTTTTTTTTTTTTTTTTACTATCTCTTATGAGTTACTGCTCCGATTAGGAGTATTAGTGTGTATTTTGACACATTAAAGTGTTTTATATCTACAAACTTGCATCAGACAATCCTTTGCTAATGTCTTTTAACTCAGTCCCTTTTGAAGATTATTGTTCTTCAACTGAAACACACAACGTCTTCAGTTCTACCTCCTGGTGGAGTCAGTGCTGAACTTTAGGAGCAGTTTTGGTAGAGCTACCCCTCCAGGGAACGACCTGTTTTATCGAATGATGAGTCACAAAGCCAGGTTGAAAATGGCTTTATAATCCTTTCCAGTCTGATAGACGTCACTGACTTTCTCCCATCTGTTCACTAGTTATATTAGAGGAACAACCCACCGAGCAGAAATTGGTTTAAAAGACTTTGAAAAGATGTCATAATTTACATCCAAACAATGTCTAAATACGGTTAAAAAGTGAAAGGTGGAAATTCATAATGTTCCGATCGTTGAAAAGACGTTGAAAAATGG